TCCGGGTTTTCTTTTCAGACTCTTTCGATAATCTTAGTGCACTCCAGGCTACAATTTTCCATTTGTACTGTGTCCTTCGACTGTCCATAGTGAAATAAAATCTTAAGCCAAAAGAAGAGATATTTATAAGTGAAAAAACCATTTTCATTGGACTTAGTGTCAAAAAAATAAAAACAATTAATTCATTTAATATTATGAAGTATGGAGATTAAATTCAAACTTGCACACGGATCAAATGAGGGCGTTTTAAAATGGAAGAGTCAATATGTCCAACAGATGTTTTCAAATACTGCCATTGCATTCTACTCATTTGTATTCCCTCAATAGTAGGTAACCCGTCTTTAAAACGTCGAATATCAATCAAACTGTCCTGGTTCAAGCTACATATAGAAACATAAACATCATTAGTTAGGGGAAACTGGTCGGTATATGGACACATTGTAGACGTTTTGTTCTCATCATTTTTCCATTGTATGATATCCATCGCTAAATCAATACCATTTTGTCCTTTCTCCAGCCATAGGAGATTGACACAAAGCAATATAAAAATGGCCATTAAAATGATAAACATTGGAATCATCCACACTTTGTCCCTCCAGCAAGTACGTTTGAGTGTTGTTCTACACTCTTCATCACAAGTGTTCTCAATCAAATTTGTCATAACCGCAACACTCTCCATTTCAATGTATTTTTTTCTAGCCAACCTTTTCTTGGTCAGTACAAAGATTGAATGAAGATTCGTTCATCACTTTTATTCTTTTATACTCCCCCATTAATAGTTACAATGGTCACAAACAACGGCCAATTATATTTTGGACACTAGATCTATCACTTTGCTTTACATCTATTTATTTTAAACCATATAAAGTTTTCAATTATAGATTTAGGACATACATCTATAATTATGCATTCATTCCTCGCATACATGACGCATGCTCAGATGTCATCTTATGAATTGCACAACCTTGCGTCATAAATCTATAATTGACCCACCCGCCATTTTTAAATACATCTATAATTGGCCCTTCGCCATTTTTAAATACATCCTAAATATAAACATCTACATCCATGAAGGTATACATGCAGCAGGAAGAGGCAGCGGATGGGTTTATTCCACACCCCTGTTCCTGGGAAAGTGAGACGTGAAAGCATGTCAAGGACAGTCTAGAGTAAAAATATTAGAAGACATGTCCACCGAGAAGTAAGCGACTGGTGCAAAGGAGAACAAAAGGTTCAACAAAAGAACAGAAAACACCAGAACATGAAGAGGAATTCGCTTGGGTTTTTAAATAAACCATTCATATTTTTGTTTGGTTGTGAAGTCATTCTTTGATTATCTTTATGTTGATAACAACTTTTTTTCACATGTGTAAATGAACCTTTTTTACGTTTTATTTTATAGTACTTATTTGTAATTAAAAAAAAGATAACCTGATGCACTGTTTTTGTTGTGTTTTGTCTGTTGGATGAATAAAGGACTGATTATGAAGAAGGCAATAGGAGATGCGATACTGGTTTAATATATAGCAAAATGAAATAATTTATGCAGAGGAAAGATTAAATTTAATATATATAATAATGACATTTTATATAATTAAAGATGAATGAAATATACAGTAACAATTTGTAAACTTTTAATTTCATGCAAATAAAATAATATATTTAATGCCATTAAATATCAAATTTAGTGCACTAAAATATGTAAACTTTTATTTTAATGCAAACAAAATGATATATTTATGCCATTAAATATCAAATTTTCTGCATTGTTAACTAAGCAAAAAGTAGGACATTACATTATATTTAAGTGAAGTAAAGCTATAGTAAAGGTCACCTTTTAGAACTTTGACTTTTTTCAGTGAAGTCATTTAAAGGTAATGTAAATTTAAAAATTGGCTTTGTAAAGCTATTTTTTCACGCAGTGTATTATCGAACTCAATCGTCACATATATACAAGTATCATGGGGAAACCTGTTAATATATTATTTGTTTGTGTTATATTTGAATCCATACATTGTTAAGTTGATCTTTAAATTAGAACACTTTACACTCAATTATATAATCATTACTCATTTCGATAATATGCCATTTTTGCATGTGTATATCCCATGATATTGAATAATGTTATGGACAATCTTTAAATCACCTGCAATTGGTTATTGAGAATTCTTGAAAAATACATTCAGGAACGCATGCATCTTCCTACCGATTAGTCGAGGGTTTCTTGACATGGGAAGATGGAATGCATGTACAAGTTTAAAAATACTAAATATTTGGAATACACTTGCTTCTGGCCCTCCTGATTGGAAAGATGATGCTTGGGGGATGTTTAAAATTCATTGCTCTTTATCATCAATGATGCATCCATCTCTGATCACAGGCCGAATAATGTCTTCGCCTAATTCGAATTTTGTGATTACTGAAGTTGAAAAAAGACTCATCTTTATAGAGCACACATACAGTTATATAGTACTTATAAATATTATTATCAATAATTCATTATACATCTAATTTTGAATTTAAAGTTATGATGAATCTGTATTTATAATGTTAATATATAGTGGCAAATACTAGAATGTAGTTTAGATTCATTAAAAAGTCTAATCTTTGGTCTTCAATACTTGAAATCTTTTTCCAAAGTGAAAGGCCTACACAAAACCACCACTGCTTTACTGTAGACTGAATACAAATGTATATTAATGATAAGTATGAACATTAAGGATAAATAACACAAACTTTTTTCAGAAATCAGCAACATTTTTCATTGATTAATATTCAAATGGGTAACCTGAATGATATTTTCCAGGTGGGGTAGGAGAATTTTGTAAGATTTTGTCACAATGTCAAAAATATAAGCAACATTTTGTATAGAATTACATAGAAAACGAAACAAAGTCACATATCTAAGCACCAAAAACTTAGGATCTTTTATATTTCAGGGATTGATTAAATATTTCATCTCCATTCAAAATCAGTCTATATATATATATATATATATATATATATATATATATATATATATATATATATATATATATATATATGTATCAATCCATGCATCAAATTTGTGTTTTTGTTATGTATCCTTAAACTTTATTTTATTTGGTAGGAGTCTAAATTCATTTGTAACAGAGGGAGGGATGACTGGGTTTTACTCATTCCCACGTCAAAAAAGAAGATTGAAATACGTTTTGCAAAATGTATTTTTAATCTTTTACATCTCATAAGTCCAAATCCACCATAGTCATTCCGCTTATTGAACCTATCGCTGTTGGTTTGTTTTTAATGTCCCTTTCGAGAAATTTTCACTCATATTGAGACGCCGCCACTTGCCGTTGGAGAGCTGCAAATTTATACCTATACTTGGCACTCATGGCCATTTGGCAGTGAAGGATCTTTATCATGCCAACGCCTGCCGTGACACAGGGCCTCGGTTTTTAAGGTCTTATCCGAGGGACCTGCAACTTTCACTTCAAAGTGCTGAGCGCCTGGCGAAGGAACAGTTGCTACCTATTTTTTTTATCGACTTAGGTCACTCGAGGCTGAGATTCGACAAAAGAAATGAACTTCGTATCAGTACTATTCACTGGGTGAAAAAAGCAGTTTCCCGTCATGGGAAACTATATGGAAACCACATGGAAACCTCAAGATTACATCATGTTTCCTAGTGGTTTCCGCAGAGGATGCCAGGTTATTCCGTCAAGTTTCCGTGGCACGGAAACTACTACGCTCCGATTCCATTAGGTATCCCGAACCACGGAAACCTCAGGAAACCTGAAGTTTCCCGAGCCTCCATGTAGTTTCCCATAATGGGAAACCTGAAGATTCCACTGGTTTCCATAATTAGGAAACTATGTGGAATCGGAGCGTAGTGGTTTCCATGGAATGGAAACTTGATGGAATCCTCAGATTTCCCATGAACGGAAACTAGAGGAAACCTCATGATTCCTCAAGTTTCCATGACTCAGGAAACTACATGGAATCGGAGCGTAGTGGTTTCCGTGTGATGGAAACTTGGTGGAATAATCTGGTGTCTCATAAAAGGAAATTACAGGAACACTTCAAGATTCCCTTATTTATCTGAGACGGGAAGCAATGTGTAATTGCGGTGTAATAGTTTCCATACCATGCAAACTACAGGGTAGTCGGAGCATTTCAATTACGAAAAATGATTGACAAGCAACTGGAAGCTCAAGGATCCCTGTATTTTCCATGGTAAATCTTTCTTGTCTAGAATGTGAAAAGAGAACAGCAGGTTTAAATCAAAATATATAATTATTAATTTCCTTGGTAAACTGTGTTTTCTTTCCAAAATCTATCAAGAAAATGTATAAAAAGGAAAAAGCATTATCAAATCATATGTTTAATAATTCATTTGATGTGCAAAAACATTATTTGAAAAATGATATCAAAATAAATAAAATCATATATCTTGGTAAACAATGAAGTAGTCTTTCACATCGTATTATATAAGTCCATTCATAAACTTCATTAAATACTCTATACTTCTTTCAACATCAGCTTCCTTATTTTCTTCACATCATCTGCAATCTGCAATATATTTTCATACAAAATTATTATTTGATGTAAGAATTGTATGCTTGAATATTATTTAGAAATCTGACATGATCACTCAATGTACTTTAATGTACCAATATCAGTGATTAGTTTCAGTCTTTAAATTTAATGAAATCCGAATAATGAACATTACATAGTAAGGTTTTAAGCCAGATTAATATTAAAACAGGTATGATTGAGAATATGACCATCTCATGCATGTAGAACACTGCTTTTAGTTGAGTGGAGAGACATGTGCTCTGGACAAGGATATTACAAATCTTTTTTTCTTATTAATTAACATTAGACCTAGAAAATTGGTTAAAGATCACTACACACCCTTCATCCCATGGCACACAATCCAGATCATACCAAGGGAGAAAAATTATGCTCTGGACAAGGACTTTAGATAAAGATATATAGTGTATTTTGATACTGACCTTTGACCTAGATAATTGGTCCAAGGTCACTTTTTACCCTCCATCCACAGGCACTCTATGAGTTAAATTTGAGTGAGATTGGGCTATGAGGAGAGAAAATATACTCAGGACAAGTGATATCAGATGGACAGACAGATTATCTCATGGCATCCACAGAACAGGACCCTAAAAAATCAATGCATATATATGTAAAGTTATATCCATATAAGTCAATATGAATTCATCATATGTTGCATTGCATACACATGTTTTAATCATGTTTAATACCTTATGAATAATTTCAAATTGCATGTACACTCAGTTTACATAAAAATAATCTAAATTTCATCAAAGACGACCAACATAACAGCCATTCAAGATTTAGTTAATCAACATTCAGTACAAGTTCTATATGCTATATCATATGTACAGACACATACTAGTATTATTTACCTGCATTCTAAATCTTGTTTTATGTCACTGAAAATTAAGGCGATAGCCATTAACCAATTTTAGCCCCAATTTACATACATGCATGTTGTAATGTTTGTTCAAGACTTCCCATTTATAAATATTACCTTATAGTATATTTAGTTAACATATACCTACATTTAAAGCTTCAATGTGTTTCACTGAATATTTTAGAAATTACAGTCATTAAAATACTGACCAGCCAGAAATCAGTAAATGCATGTGCATGTCCTTATTTTTCATTCTTGTATTGTTTCATTTAACATGTTTCAATGTTAAAAAGTTTTAGTAAGTTATAGAGTTATAATATTTACTACTTTATCATAGCCATACAGTTGAAATTTGGCATCTCGAACACAGACATCTCGAATACCATAGATACATGTATGTTGAAGTAATTTGAAAGTATTCTTTAAGCATTTTAATTACTCCTGATATCTTGAATCCTCAAATATCTCAAAATATTTTCAATGATTGAATTGAACTTTGAACCATGGCAAAAGGACTCTTAAACAAATATTCATTATTCTTAAGATGAAGTCTACAGGTTACAAAATTATAAGTTGCTCAACAATGATCATATCAACAATATTTAAGAGAGTTGATCATTTCCCCTTGGGGTGAAGGAGGGGGGGGGGGGGAGGGGGGCTTCCTCTGTACAATTTAGAATATCCTTACTTTGTGTCAACCTTGGTTAAAATTAGTGGTTCTTGGGAAGAAGTTACAGATGTGAAAAGCTCACAGATGGATAGACAGTTTGATGGACAAAACAAGAGGTGATTAGAAAAGTTCACATGAGTTTTTAGCTCGAATGAACTAAATTCCTCACTGCATGGTGTATATTATGCGAGATATTATCCAGACAGAAAATTTTATAGAGGAGTGAAAAAGAAGACTCCAAGCCATAATTTTACATAACCTCTTGTAGTTTGCAATTGGTATTTCAACATTCCAATTAAACTCAAGTTCTTTTCTTTTCATGCAATTGTTATACATGCCTATTTATGATTGAATTAATTACCACTTACCACACGATCACATCTTGATTCATCATACATCTTACTGGTTCTCCTTTAATGTCAGTTTTCTTCTCTCTGAAAGAATTTATTATGTACAGTTACTACTGCATTCTGATTTCACCTATGAGACCAACAATAAACAAGTGTCCCAGGGGCCACATTGCTCACCTAAGCACTTTGGGTAGGAAAAAATATAAATCAGTTCAGTATTGAAAAGTTTAAATATAAAAGTGGTTTGGAGGGGGGGGGGGGGAGATTCTACACTTTCTAAGGATGCTTTTGAATTAATATGACACATATTAGCATTGCTGTTCTTAAGAAGAAAATCCTTTTTATTCCTTTGTATAACTATGATCCCCTGTTATGGCCCCTCTATTCTCCTGGGGGGGGGGGGGGGTCATGATTTAAATAATATCTACATTACTTCATCGGCCGTGTATATAAATATGACCAATCATGGCTTCGTTGTTCTTGAAAAGAAGAATTTCTAAGATTTTTCCTATGTACTTTGATCGTTCATTGTGGCCCCATCCTACCCAGGAGGTCATGATTTGAACAAACTTGAATATATACTAGTTGAGGATGTTTCAACATAAGTGTCATCTTTCCTGATACAGTGGTTCTAGTGAAGAAGATTTAAAAGATTTTTTCCTATGTATTCCTATGTAAAATTGATCATCCATTATGGCCCCGTCCTACACTGGGGGTCATGATTTAAACAAATTTGAATTTACACTACCTGAGGATGCTTCCAAATAAGTTGGAATCTTTCATTGCCATGTGGTTCCAGAAAAGAAGATTTTTAAATGATGCCATAAATTTTTCATTTATTTGTAATTATTTCCCTTTAGAAGAAGATATGGCCCTTTATTTGAACAAACTTGAATCCCCTTTACCCAAGGATATTTTATAGCAAGTTTGGTTGAAATTGGCCCAGTGGTTCTTGAGAAGATTGAAATGTGAAAAAATTACGAAAACAACGGCGACAGACAAATTTCGAATTTTGCAAAATGTGGGTCGGAGTACATCAAACAAAAGTATTTTTAATAATGGCCTAGACTTCAACAACTACCAGGGAGGAAAAATATATAAACAAACAAAAATTTCAAACAAATGCGGATTCACTTATTTTTATCATTATGCTTCTACGATGTTGCGACCGCCATCAATAACTGATGATTGTAATTTAGATGATTCATTTGCATTACTTGAAATACTATAAAAAATTATCAATATTTGTACATCATGTAGGCTATTATTTTTAACATTTTCAGTAAATCTCTCAGCAGGTCACACATGAAAAATTTTGTCTTTTGAACAGTAAACTGTTTCAATTTACAATCTATCACTTGTTTGTTAAACAGTTGTTATATTATTATAGACAGTGCACTTTAAAACCAATACATTTTCTCTATACAAATCATCACTATGCATATCAATAAGGGTTGTGCTATGGCTTTGTAAGATGTATATGTACTCTAGTTACAGACAATCTATTTACATTGTTCTTATGATTCTTCACAATTTGTAATTATATCTGCCACATAAAGGCGTTTTATCTGTGTCGGATTACAATAGTCAGAACTCTCTCTTTCAGCTGTCTTTTAAATTTCCATTGATGATGTCCTTCGTGAATAATCTGATAATTTGAGATTGCGGACACCTTTTGTTTAAATATTAATGACTTAATCGTAATTTAGTAGCAGAAATAATTCATTTATACCTTGTCGTTACATCATAAAAAGTTCCAAAAGTCTAACAAGTTCATGAAGTTGACGATCTGAGAACACATGTATTCAAACCGGATATATGTTTTGTCCGTATTAACAAGGAAACCATATTCGGTACAAACATTATTATCCGATTTAACAACGAAAAAAAATCATACATTTTTCATTTATATACATAGAGAGAGAACTATTATAGTAAGCATTCATTTTCGATAAAAAAAAATAATCTAAAATGCAAAACGTACAGTATGGAAAAAGACAAATGTGGTGCCATAGGGTCTAGCTATACAAAGTCTACTATCTATGCATCTTTGATCGTAAAACACTAAATACTGTATAATTCAAGTTTCTCTTTTCGTTTTGCAATGTGTAAACTAAAATATTTAAAACTTAGATATCAAACATTTCAAAATGGCGTCAAAACGAATGTGGTCTTCGATGGGAAAGATTTGTTCTGCCCATTATTACTATTATTTACCTTAAAAAAAGTATATAAAAATATACGTACACTAATCCTTGGTTGTTGATCATTGCATTTTTCACAGTTTTAAAGACACTGGGTGGCGAAAACATCATTAACTTTTCAGATTTGCACCTTACACCCGAGTTCTTCTCCGTCTTGCTCAACTCCAAAAATGGCGCCTCGTGAAAATTGACCAATGAATAAAGCCTCTGCAGAGCGATGCATTATGGGAAACAGAACCTATTTACTTTAATAAGTTTTTATATATAATATAATTTCCCTGTGACGGTGATTATGAGTTCTTTTCCTTAATGAAGTTCTTCTCTGTTCATAGAAAGGGGGGTGCTCCTCAATAAATTTGCTGATAATTAGTATACTATAGAAAACGAAGCGTTTATCTGAGGGTGACCAGAGAAAGTTTATGTGTCTGGTGTGACCCCTCAAATTGTATGACTTGGGGGTGGGGCGTGGGCTGGGAACGTAGTGCCCATCCAAACAGAAAATGTCCGCTTGCCCTCTCCCCTCCAACACTACTTTTTCATTAAATTATTCATTATTCTGATTAATGTATAATGTCACAACGGAAGATGTTAAACCTTTATACATGTATACATGTTTTGTATTAAAATTGGAAGTTTCAACAGGAACCCTTGAAGGAACTACCGTCAGAAAATGAATAATTGTTGAGTACCGTAGAAAATGGGGGGGGGGGGTGCATTGTGGACGTGCCATACGTCCCTAATCATATTTTTTGTAGTATAGGAAACAAAACTTATTTCCTGTTGCGACCCTCAAAATAAACATATGATGACTCTTTATCAGCTGTTTATTACTTTGTGACAAGAATGTTGTTGTCCTTTGAAGTCTGTCGTAAATTTCGATGGGCATTTGGCATGCAAATGAACTACATGACATGTATACAGAACAGTATTTTATTTTTAGTGATGATGGAAAAGTTCGGCGTCAAAAATTGCTGTTTAGTAAAAGGAATTAGGGTATGTTAGACTAGTATACACTTGTGAAAATCAACTTGAGACAAAATAATTTAATTACCAGCAAGGACGGTTCAAGAATAATAAAAATTTGATTTTTTTTCTCATGTTCGGCTTTAGATACTTTATTGAACCCCTTCCTTTTTTTGGTTTCGATTTTGAGCCTCACTCAGTTATCAATAAGAATCAGTGGACAAATTGCTGGACTTTTTCCAATTTGCTATATTTTACTTGAAACATCTTTGCCTTTAGTTATAAAATTTCTCACACCGTTTTAATGTATCAGAATTTTTCACATTTAATTTGAAAATTGATTTATAAAAAAGGAGAGTAAACAAAAGGTGAATAAAAAAACGAACCAATAGCTAAGCAAAGGTAGGGAAAACGTGCAGTATTTTAATTTGAAAAACACCGCCCGTAGAATGCGAGGATGGGGGGGGGGGGCAGGGGATGAAATTAAATGATTTTTTTTGGCTTGTCAGATTTTTTTGGAAGCCCCCCCCCCATTTTGAAACTGTTGCTAAAGACCTAAAACACATGATAAAAATAAGCCCATAATTATTGTAGGTAACCTACAATTATGTCCATTGCATTCAGAATTTTAGTTGTGACTGGTAACAATTTGTCAATATTTGATCATCTGATTTGTTGGAAAATAAATGCCCAGTGTATACTCGTTGATGTGCAGGGCTGTATAAACATGTATATAGCTATATCTGGCTTAATTTAGCCGTTTAGCCAGTACCGTCCTGTATCTTTCATATAAAACTTTTTTCTGGTAATTTCTGGTAAGGTTTGCTAGTTAAGAACTTTCTAGTAAAGTTTTGCCCCAAATTGAAATTACTTTCATACAGGCCTGTAGTTTGAGTAGACAGTATTAAATGCAGGTTTTTTTTTTTTTTTTTTTTTTTTTTTTTTTTAAATAAGTAATGTTACATGTCGGCGTATAAAAATCAAGAAATGGACGGCGTACATAAAGAAATGTTTGTACATGTAGTAGTATTGACAATCACCACATCAGTATATAATACCTATATATCGAAAGAAACTATTTTCTCTCCATTTTTTGAAGAAGGGAGGGGGGCTTAAATTTGTAGGGGTAACCTTCTGCTTAACACAATGCACGATTTAAAAGGAATATTTTCGGTAAGCATCTACGTGTAAAACAATTAATAAATTATTGTTTTTTTCTTCTTCAATGAATTGCCTTAGCATGCAGTTCTTCAGAAGACGTTATTCTTAAAGAAAAGAAAATCATTTAAATAAATATCATAGAGTTTTCTTTATTTAGAGCCAGCATTGGTCTTTGTGTACAAAATGGCTAAATTAAATATACGTGCATGTATGCATTTAAGACCAACATTATTGTAATTTCATGCGAAAAATGAAGACATTTACTACATCTGTGTACAGATATAAAAAATGTAAGTTATTTAGTTAACACGCATTAATTTTTTATACGAATATTATTCTGCTGTTTTATCTTATCAATGTCTTAAAGGCAACACATTAAAGTTGATAATTAATAATTCTTTCTATGTTTTCAATATTCAAAGTTTACATTGATGTCAAACGTTAAACAAGGACGATTTGTTATTTACCGATTAAGAAATTTTATTTCATTTATCTATGCACTTACAAATTTGTTTGAAAAAGAATTATGATTTAACACATAACGAGAATTTAGATTTATTCTAGACCGATAGAAAAGTATATATGATTTTTAAACGGTTAGGAAATTTTCTTTTTTAATCAGTAATGAAAAATTGAAATACAATTCTTTTTTTTTCTTCTCTGATTGAACATCTTAAAATTAATGTAGCTGATTTTATCAATATTTTGTGATCTTATTGATAATTTAATTTTTTTTTAAAAATCAAATCAATGGCCAACAATTATCACCTAGATTTAAACTAAGTTTGCGGAGACTAGGTGTATGTACATGCTTGACCACAGCCTATTGTTTCCCTTAGGTAGAAAATCCTCTCAAATAACATAGAATATACAAGAAATATACAGTCGCAGGTGTCTTCGCGACACGTGTCTCCACCTGTGGCACGTGAGAACAAGTGCCCGCGATTACAAGGGTCAGCGCAATGATTGAATTTTATCTGACCAGTTTACACTGATTTTTCAAAAATAAATGTTGTATTAAATCTTCTCTATTAATTCCAATCCACGTGTCTTAATGAGTTTTACCGAGACTAAAATGTTAAAAATCATTTAATTTGGGTTTACGGTCACAGAATGTTCAATTTTATTACACAGAATTACACAAACAGTTTTTAAAATTATTCTTTTGATACACGTTTCCAAAATGTCTATCATCGAGAAAATAGGTGTAAACCACGGCATACGTGTTTGCTATATCTGGGAAACATGTGGGAAACTACAGGTTGATTGCTTCCATATCGGGAATCTACGTGGAAACCACTACTGCATGTTTCCACGGTTTCCCATATTGGGAAACTTACGGGAAACCACAGATTGATTGTTTCCATATTAGGAATCTACGTGGAAACCACTACTGCATGTTTCCACGGTTTCCCATTTTGGGAAACTTACGGGAAACCACAGGTTGATTGTTTCCATATCGGGAATCTACGTGGAAACCACTATGTGGTTTCCATAAAATGGAAACTATATGGAAACTACTGATGTCACGATTCCCATATGTTTCCATCGGGTTTCCAAATTTGGGAAACCTGGCTTTTCATCCTGTGATTAAATTAACATTTAACAAAAAAAAAAATCAAGTATAAACGAGTTACGCGTATTCCTGAGGCCCCCAAGAGAAATTTCTCTCTTCTAATCTACCTCTGTGCACAATGTTTTACTATGAAAAGTGAATTACCCTAATTTTCTTGATTTGGTGGTTAATAACCCTTTCCTAGCCACGAAAATATAACATTAATTGATTGCCAATGACAAAACATTAAGTGTTCTATCATTGTCTTGAAAAATATGATTTTTGTTAGAGTAACCCGATTCTTTTTTTAAAAAATGTGTGAAGGAAACGGGAGAAGAAACGCATTTCGAAGGCGAAGTAGAGGGATTAAAAACTCTTGATTAAATTTCATATGTCATCATCTGATTTACAGAAACCTGTAGGTTAAAAGGTTGAGTTGTATGCATTGGATAACTTGCTTCGAAGGTAATGCGTTGGAATAATTGAAAGATTTAAAGTTTGATTCTTGGACATGATTTACACTTTAGAATATTCATGAGATAAAGTTGAACACAAACTTGGAAAATTACATTGTCATTATCATGCATACCTCTGAGATTTCGGAATTAGTTCAAGAGAACTAGGTCAAGGTTAACTTATTTCATTATCTTGAGTAACTCCTGTAGATTTGTGGGATCATTTGTGAGAGCCAAAGACAGGATTAAGATAACCGAAGAGAGAGCATTGTGGCTCATGGGCTACTTCTTACGAGTTGCAAAATATAAACTATGTTGACTCCTTAAGAAACCAATCGTAATTTTGTAATTTATTCCTTAATAAATGCACACATATCTGTTATTTAATGTTACATCATTGTTCAAGAGAAAATGCTAAAAAATAGATTCAGTTCTTCTGAAAATAATTCTG